CCGAGCCTCGGCACGTCTGGTCAGCCCTCTTGGGGCCTTCAGCCTATCCGGACCGCTCGCTGGGCCTTCGGAATATCTGGTCCGCCCTGGGTATGTTGGCCTACAGCACAAAGCAGGACCCGCCTCAACCCAACCCCCGTCAAACAACCATGTGCACATAAACAATTAATCGCATATCAAATCCTTGGAAATCAAACTGGTCAACTCTTGGTCAAAGTCAAAGTCCTCAGTCAAAGTCAACCTTCCTGGTTGACTCTACTCACCGAGTCGACCCGTCGACTCGTCGAGTTCCTATACTCAGAAACTCCCATAACACGACTCAACTCGCCAAGTCGCCCCAAGACTCGTCGAGTCCAACGATCTCCGAGTCCCATCCTGCTCAACTCACAGAGTCATCCCTCGACTCACCGATTCGAGGCTTAACCATAAAAGGTTAGGGTTCCGCGACCAGACTCGCCGAGTCCAAGAACAGACTCGCCGAGTTGTTCTTCCAACTCGCCGAGTCCATGCACATGTTCATACAACTCTTCGAGTACACCCATGTGACTCGCCGAGTCCCTTCAGTTCTCAATCCATACAGAGGATTTTCGAGCCATGCAGGGGCTCCAATCCATAGATCCACTCTTCTACAGCCTAACCCTCACATAAAGTTGCAAACTTTACGTGAAACCAAGGAGATATAAGCCCAAAACACTCTAGGGCTAGGGTTTATGACAAAGGGCTTCACCAATAACTCTTAGACAGGAGCTTTATGACATTAAGGACCATCACAAGCCTAGATCTGAAGTAGCAAACTCAGATCTAAGCCTCTAACTCGAAATAGATCTCAAACAAGCTAAGGAACTCCAAATCAACCACCAAGGATGAACCAAAAAGGAAATAGCTTAAGATAATGGCTCCTTACCTCTGAGATGTGCCCAAACTGATGTAGATTCCAGATCTACACAAGCCCCTTGATGCTAGCCTCTAATTTCTCAAGCTCCTTCCACCAAATTCCTCTTCCAAGCTCCAATCTCCTCAACAATGGAGTCTCACACGAAAATTAGGGTTTCTGGATCTCAAAAGGGTAGCAAAGAGGCTGAGGGTGGGTTATAATGTGCTTTATATAGGGAACAACCCCCGGAATTAGGGTTTTCTCTCTTCAGCACCAACTCGTCGAGTCCAAGCCGCCGACTCGGCGAGTTGGCCACTTAACCCGCGACAGATTCCCGCTCCGACTCGGCGAGTAAGCATGCCTACTCGTCGAGTCCCTTTCCTTAGTTTACACTTTAAGTCCTTCAATAGCACCTCTGGAATTTGGGGTGTTACAGAAACATCCATCCGTTTAAACAAGAAAATCGTTAAACCTGACTATAGATGGGTACAAAAACTTTACACTCCCAAATCACCTAAAAATTCTAACATCTCATCAATTTCTGTGTTTGATAAACAGGATATGACTTAGGAACGCGTGTCATGCGTAGATGGCAAAGGTCAACCCAGTTTCAAAATGGACTGGGTTCCCAAAACCAATTAATCCCGCACTCTGTGCCGGAGCAGCTATGGAGGAATATCATCAGACTTCGGTATGTTGATAGTGGTTGTTCCAGGCACATGATAAGAGACATCTCTCTCATGCATGACATTCAGAATTTTAGTGAAGAGCATGTGTCCTTTGTGGGAAAGGAAAAGGAAAGATCACAAATGGGGATTAAATAAACTACTGAATTACGATTTGAATTTTCTGACTATTCTCTTCTCTGTGATAATAATGTTGATTTTCGATCGTCCAAAAACCTATTTTTTAAAAAACCAAGCTCGTTGTGGAATTTCTTGAGATGATACGTTTCGAAGACTGAAATTTCTTTTAATTTTTATCTAGTATTTCTTATTTTCTTTCATTTTGTTTTACTTTTAGAATAGGAAATCTTGTGTCAGTCTTTTGGGAAGTGATATGAGTTAGTGATAAAGGGCAAACGAAATATGTGTAATGCACTAAAGCTGAATTGTCTAAACTCTATGTTCAATGTGTTGGTAGGCATAAAGGACTAAGACTAACAGACTAGACAATGTGGATTTATTTGAACTTAGGAAACCTCATTTGGACTGACAATACGACGCTTGGATAGATTTAACAGTAAAATACACAAGGAGGTCTATGACATTAATTGAAGCTTACTATCATTTGGATCTTTGACTCAACACTTCATTGGCGTATGGACTTGTGTCTTTAATTCTTGTATTGACGGGGGTGACTGAGGGGTTCTGATAAATTGGGTCTGTTTAAAATCGTTATTCTTTCTTTCATAGCCAGCCTCATGTTGTCCCCTCTGCGTGATCGGAAGATCCGACCTTGGACACAACATATGCACTCAGATGATGTTCACTGCTTTTAAGTTAGTATATTGTCTCCTACATATATCCTACTCTCTATGTTAGTCATATGTTGTCCCCTCTATGTGATCGGTAGATCCGACCTGGGACACAACATATGCATTCCACTATGATTATCTACTCACCTAAAGTAAAGGATTCCGAAGAAATTTTCTTGATTACTGGGGTATGCCATGAAGTGGGGAACATGTTCTAGTGTACTAAAATTAACTGCACTCATAACTAAAGGCTAACTGGTAGATTTTACTGGCTAAATTTAAGTGGACAACAATATCCCTGGTCGTCGTCAGATAAAATGGTCTATCTAGGAATATAGTAGCTATATATCGTCACTCATGATCTGTCCCGAAAAATGTCCTTTGTGTTTAAGTGGATCACAATATCAATGATTGACCAGAGCTTTTTCATTAACGTGTGTAGTGATAAACCTCATTAATTTGCTCCATAACGTTTGATTCCAAAAGTTTTTATTCTAGATTACATTTTTGTTTTGATTTAAATTTGTACATATTTTCATTGTTATGCACAAAGTTAGGGGGAGAAATAATAAAATAAAAAATATATATAAATAATAAAAAAATAATAAAAAATAAAATAAAATAAAAAATAAGAATTATTAAAAAATAATAATAAATAAATAAAAATAATTAAAAAGTGTGTTTAATCTTATTTTATTTTATTTTTTGTATTTGGTTTTTGGAACGTAAAATCGAAAGAAATTTTTTTCTATTAAAATTGGGTTACTTTTCGTGGGCCGAAATCGATTAAGTGGGCCGTCTGGGATCTCTTGGTCATATATATACATCATTTTCGGCTGGTTAGGGTTTTTCACCGAAAAACTCCAAACAACCATCATCATCATCATCGTCGTTTTTCTCTTTTCTCTCTTTGAGTTTTTCTGCTAAAACCTACTCAATCGTTATTTTTATTGAAAATTATTCGGTGAATCAGGTATTGTTTGGGTTTTCGATCATGGCAATATTGTTTAAAGCCGTTTTTGGTGTACTCGGTTTCATAGATTTGCAGGTTTTTAGTAAATTTCTCAAGGTTTTTCAAAGAACTGAGTTGGAATAGGTTCCGATGAGATTTCGGGTTTTCGGTTCAACCTGGATTCAACCGAAATCAGATGAAGATCTGACCGGAATCTAGGTTCTCGGTCGAAATCAACCAGCGTTGACCGAAATCATCTGGTCAACAAGTGTTTTGACCAAAATCGATCAGCTTTGACCGAAATCGATCAATTTTGACCGAAATCGATTGATATCTTGACCTTAACCGAAAACGACTGAAACTTTGTCTTTGAACGAAATCGACTAAAACTTTGACTTTAACCGAAATCAAATTTCAAACTCAATTTAAGTAATTTTAAATTAACTCTCATTTGGCTAGTTTGGTGCAGATAAATGGCAAAGCAACTAAATTCGTAGACTCTCACAACATTGTTGGATATCTCATGGATCCACCTGCTGCTCATCAAGAATTCAAATCCATGATGGTGGGTTTGAATAACTGCAAGATTTCTCAAGCCCTTCGTGCTAATCCAGTCATCCACAGAGACCTGATTACTAAGTTCTGGAAAAATATTTCGATCAACAAGATGGGAGCAGATGGAGCTGGTACTGTTGAATCGATGGTGAAAGGAACACAAGTGACTATTTATGAACAAGTTATCTGAGAGGTACTTGAATTTGGTGATGCATCTGCATTCTTAATTGAGTACTCTGCTGATCAAGTCAAGGAGGTTCTTGAGAAGATGTGTTATGAAGGAACTTATCCTCCCACCATCAAGAAGCTACTGCCACCTTACTGGAGGTTCCTGGCACACTCCTTTTTGATTTGCATTTCTGGAAGAAAGGGGGGCTCTGATGAAATTAGTCAGACTGTGACCTCAGCCATTGTCGCTCTAGCTATGGACTAGGATTACAACTTCTCAAAATTCGTTTTTGAATAAATTAAGAGCAACCTTCTGGGAAAAAAAAAGGACCTATTTTTAATGTACCCCAAACGAAAGGTCATCTGACACTTTGGATATGAAAGCCATGGGTCCTAACACCTTTGGACTCATGAAGAAATCAAGGAAGGCTTCCAAAGTTGCTTATCAAGGATTAAAGGAGTTAGCTAAATTTGGAAAGTTTGTTGAAGTTAAAGACACTCCTGCTGTTAGTTCCATAAATGTTGAGGTTGCCGAGGAACACGTGGCGCCCAAACCAAAGTTTTAATTCACCTTTGAAGAGATTGAAGTATCTGGTGATGAACAAGATCAAGAGGATCAAGAAAATGAATTGTCAGAAAATGAGTTTGAAAATTTTATTCAGCAAAGTATCTCTATCCCATAAGAGGATGTTGCTATCACACCTCCGATTGTGATTGAAAGGGAATGTGATACAATGGTGCAATCTTCCACACCAACCCCAGAACAAATGGATGCTCTTATAGCAGAACTTCAGCGAACTGCAAGGAAGCCTCCCCAAACAGTTCCTTTTGATACTGAACCTCCATCTGGAAGTGATCCAGAAGATTCATCCAACGCTTTACTCCCAAGGAAGTGAAAGAGAAGATATCCAAGGTCGGGAGTGCTTATCATAGACCATGTTCAAAAGAAATCTACTCCGATTGAGCCCGGTTCTATGGCTCAAAACATACAAAGCCCATTCACTGAGACCTCTCCAATGATTCAAGAAATGTCAAGCCTAATCCCTGAGCCTATTCCTATGGATCAGGATTTTCAAAGCCCGATTGTTGAAGAAAATGTCATACCTTCAGAAGGAGCTCAAGTTTCAGGAATCTCATTTGAAATACCCGAGCTGGACATATCCAAAGGCAAAATCAAGTTTCCTGAATCTGAATTAGTTGAAGCGGTTCTGCTTCAGAAAGAGTCTTTGATCTTGAACAAAGCTCTGCCGAAAAAGATTTGATTATTGGAAAGCATGACATTAGAATCAGCGAGCTTGAGAAAGAGAACTCTAATAAGGATTCCAAGATCTCTGAACTTCTAGCAAATCTCAGTGGTCTAACTGCTCTATTCTTTGACCCGAAACAACACCTATTTCAAAAGTTTGGTGATGAATTTCAACCTTTGACCGCTGAAGGAGAAAATATCACTACTTCTAGTTCTGGTCCCGCCAATCCAACTTCTCAATCCTCAAGCGAAAGAGTTGCAAGACCTGCTCTGGATGCTAATCTTGATGCATTCTTATCTTCTGGTCCTGCTTCTGCTCAAGAAAGAAGAGATAAGCAAATTAGGGTTGAGCAGCTGAAAGGGAAGATGCTAGTGATGAAGCATTCAGATCAAAATGCTCCAGGTGATCATCCTGAAATGTTTTTCAGGGAAACTGGAAAGAAGTTTACAGATAAATATGGGGATCATTCTGGCATCATCATGTGGGGATATGATGCTGATAAAAGGATGTGGGTCGTGAATCGGAAAAGTGGAAGAATTGAATATTATGAGAAGAAAGTTGACTTCTTGTCCTGGACAAAAGTTGATCTTTTTGAACTCATCCACGCACCTTTCCACAATTCAACCAATGATACCATGGCCTGGTCCCTTAATAATTTTCTTGAGAGTAAAGCTAAAAATATCTTTTAAGACTTAAAGATTGCTTCATCGTTTACTAAGAAGGCCAGGGGTGTCATTGATCCACGCACCAACAAAACCATGGTGAATGTAATGTGGCCACCCACAAAGCAAGCTAAAAGGATTCCTCTTCCCAAACGCTTACCTGAAGGCACTTTGGATACAATTCTGGGTTTATGACGAAGCTACTGCAACTGTGGTGATCAAGCTCAAGAAAAACTAGTTTCGTATTGTTGATCCCAAAGATTTATTGAAGTTTAGAGAACGAGATATTCGCACGTTATCAAACTTTCACATAATTGTTGAGAATGAACTGTTTGAAGTTGCCGCAAAAGCCTTCACTGGAATGGTAGCTACAATAATTGATAAGAAGTTGTGGGCAGGGACTTTTGACCAAGCAGACGTGCATCTCGTGGAGAAACCTTGAAGAGAACAGAAAACAATAAACCAAGGGGAGATTGTAGGGATATATTTGGTGGTTTCTGCTTTGTTTTGAATGTATTATATGGTTCTCGGTTTTGGACCGAAATCTCCTAGTGATTTCGGTGGGCTTAGTGTTTTCGGTGGGCTTACTATTATGGGCTTTAGGTTAATCGGTTTAGTATATATGTAGTATGTGTATAGCCGTTCAAGGCTAATGCGTTTTTGGTAATTTCAAGTCATTCACGGCTGAAGGGTGATTGAATGTACTAGACAATTATTCAATAGAATTGTGTGCATTCATTTGAAACGTGTTCATGATATATTGAATTGATTGTTTCGTATCATTGTTTGATTAAGATTCTGCATTAAATCAAACAATTGCATTGATACTTTGATAGATTCGAGTTCAGGGACTTACATATACCATATGAATATAACTTTTTGGCATTGAGAACGCCTAAGAGGTGCTGCAGGCATTTTGTATTCTTCCCAGGAAATCTCTTTTAGATCCGACAATTGAATATATGCAGACGGCTACTCAGGGTCGTCATTCGGTGGCTGTTCGGGTCTACCTAACCCATAATCATGGTCCCATAAGTCATTGTAGTATGTGGTACCAACGTCATCCATGATACGTGCTTGTACAGTTCAATAATATTTAATTATAAACGATACAGTAACAAGTATACCATAAAGTTATATAAATATTTATGGGAGTGAAATAATTAACAAACTACTTACACCCCCTTTGAGGCACCATCATCATATCTTATAGTCTTATTAATAAGTTTTAGATGCATGGCTAAATTACTACGTTCTGCAAAATGCATCTCATGTGCGCTCAACTGCTCGCGGCATTCACAAAACTCGTTTTGGAACTCAATAACAAATCCGATCCTTATCGGTTGATGATATAGTGGGTGGCGGCGGCGGTGGTGGTGGTGGTAGTTCAGACGTATTCAAACTTTTTGCAACATCTGTATGTGCCTTCTTTTGTCGAGGCTTATGGTAGGCGAGTGTTGGGGTGATGGTGTTAGGGAAGGTGCTCTGTGAAAATTTATGGTAGCTAAATCAGGGCGCTCAATCCACACCGAGTTAAAAGTCCACCATTCAACACGACTCTTATATGTTGACGGCTCCAACTTCTATATAAGTCTATTATTCTGCTAAAACAATTATGAAATTATAAATAAACATAAATTATACATATAGATAAAAATTATAAATTATATAAATAATCAAATAGATATAGAAGACATACACAGAACGCACTTGTCTGATAACTCATTACGTGGATTTTCAAACACATCAACCACATGTTCTAATTTGACGAGATATTCTTTGCGACCATAGGAAATACATGGGATCGGAAGGCGGTGCCGGAAACGAAGGCAGGAAAATAGTCACTAAAGTTAAAGCCGATGAGAAGACAAAATTCTTTAATCCCGAAAGACAGCTTGTAACCCCCAATCTTAAAAACCATTTCCTTTACTTCGCTTTGAGTGTCCATGATAACTTTTTGGAAAAACACGTAATGTAGAAGTGAAAGATCCCCATCTACCGAAGGAATATCTAACCACCTCCCGAAACATGTATTTCAGAACATAGTCATGCATGGCGGCCTGTCTCTGAATGTCGCGAGAATATCCAAAGCGATTTTTAGTTTGCAAGCCAGTGTAATTGATGCATCAAAAAATCTCGTCGTGATGCAAATATAAAAGTTGTTATAAGTTTAAATCATGTTTATGACATCCCAATTTTTAAGGCCAATTTAAAACTTTTTATTTATGCTTATTTAATCCATAGTATACCTTTTATTGCGGAATATGTTCCTAAAACATAATGTATTTCCGAAGAAACATTTTCCAATAATATATACAACTTTGGAATGTCATCGTTCGATACAGACAACATAAGCATAAACAATCCATTACATAACTTATAACATTTATTCATACTAATGTCCTACAACTCCTCAAATCTCTCATCATCCATGTGCTTTCGTACCACTAGCTGCGATACAAAGAAACTAAGCGGGTCAAGCTTGGGAGCCTGGTGAGCACATAGGGCTTTCAACCCATAATAATTAAGTTATTTAATTATGTATTTCACATAAAAATAATTCACATGATCACCATTCCAGTTATTCTCACTTTCTGATCCTAAAATACTGATCTCAAGGGACCTATCCTAAGGAACATCATAAGCAATGAGTAGACAATACTGCTTGGGGGATTCCTTAAACAATATATGTCAATAAGGAAACCATGGGTTGATAGAGTACATCAAATGAACAGATAGTTCATTAACACCTACAGGTTGCGAGCATGCCAACATTCCACTGGACTGTCTAAAGTAGTCTGTGGTCGTCATCTATATACTCAGCTAGATGACTGGTTTTTCAATACAATAGTCATGGCCTCTCATCATCATTTCATCTTTCATCACCCATCACTACCCAATATTATATATATATATATATATATATATATATATATTAAAATACATATACGATTAAATCAATAAGAAATCATATTGTTTCATGTTACACAGATATCAAGGAATGCAGATAATAGGCACACATATCATTTAATAATCTAGACACGTTATATATATATGTGTAAGCTGAAAGTAATTATGCACTCACTTGTTAAAGTGGATGCCTTGGAATTTGGGAAGCACTCTGCCTTAGGTCTTAGCGCTTAGCTTTTCCTTTGAAGTGACCTAAGTATAATTATTACTAAGTCTTAGTCTAATATTCCTTGTGACTAATGATAGTCTATATTACTTAATAGTCCAAATATCTACATCAAGATTTATCAAGTAAGGAGCAACCAGGTAAGATCATATCGGAGATAGGGTCCGTTTTGTATACTGAGTATAATGTTTGGAAACCCCACTTTAAACACCTCACTAAATCTAGCATAGACATCACCCCCATAAGTAGATCAATCAGTATAATGACTTTGAATCACTGATAAATCTTATATATAGATTCATAACAACGATTAAGAATATAAATATCAGTGACACTAAAATTAATATAAGTGTAATTTAACTTACCAATATTTTCTAGCAAAAATTTGGAAATTCCTCTGTCCGAACTCAGAATCAAACACTTCTATTCGTTGAACTTTCTACCGACTCAGAGGCCCACTAAATACTTCTAAAATATAGGGAAATCAGACTTGAGAGAAGAAAACTGATTTAGAGAGTAATGGGAGTGAAAGTGTGAGTGAAAGAGATGAATTTCGACTAATATATATAGGGGAGTAGGAAGGCACGTCGCGCCCTCAAGTGACGCTGATCCTGCAGGGTGCTGCCACGTGTCAAAATCCCGGTGGTACTCAAGACTACAAAGTTTAGTAAGCAGGTTCGGGGTAAACTTCAGACAACACAGAGTCGGAAGAAGAGCTATGCTGACAAGCACCGATCAGATCTAGAGTTCAAGGTTGGGGATATGGTTCTCGTAAAGGTGTCACCTTGGAAATGTGTCATCCAATTCATGAATAGGGGCAAGTTGGGCCCCAGGTATATCACTCCTTTCAGGGTTTTAGCCCGAGTGGGCAGGGTTGCTTATCTCTTGGATCTACCCGAGGAGCTTAGTCATATCCATAGCATGTTGCACGTCTCTCAACTGCGGAAATGTTTGGTTGATTTTTTTGCAGTGGTTCCATTGGAGGATATTCAGGTGGATGATCGTTTGAATTACATTGAGACAGGCGGCGATCCTTAACCGGAAGACGAAAATCTTGAGGAACAAGGTTGTGGGGTTGATGAAGGTGCAAGTGAAACACCGCAAGGGTTCAGAATAAACGTGGGAGCCTGAGGTGGAGATGGGGAGCATTATCCGGAAATGTTCGTAACGACGGACTTCGAGGACGAAGTCTGATTCAAGTGGGGGAGTATTGTAAC